GTTAACAATTGTGATTTGGGGTTTCTCGCAGAGGTGGAGCAGGGCATGGGGGTCCTGAACAGCGGGGTGGTGTACGCGCTGTGGGATTACAGCGCCGAGTTCGGGGACGAGCTGTCGTTCCGCGAGGGGCAGCCGGTGACGGTGCTGCGGCGTCAGCCCCCTGACGAGCTCGAGTGGTGGTGGGGGTCCCTGTACGGCCACGAGGGCTACGTGCCCCGCAACTACTTCGGGGTGAGCGGGGTCCTTTGGGGTTATTTGGGGTCTTTTGGGATCATTTGGGGTCGTTTAGGGTTGTTTGGGATCATTTGGGGTAGGGTCCTGTGGGATCTTTTGGTGGGGGTCCCTGTATGGCCATGAGGGCTACGTGCCCCGCAACTACTTCGGGGTGAGTGGGGTCCTTTGGGGTTCTATAGGGGATAAATAAATAAGGGAGGAGTCCTCAGGGGCATAGAGGGTTTGAGGAGGGATTGGTACTTTTGGGGAGGTCCCACGGCACCCACACCCTTGTGGGGGGATCCACAGCCCCCACCTCATTTGGGGAGGGTCCCCCAGCCCCTCCATGACTTTGTGGGAGTGTTTTGGGGAGGGGGTCTCATCACCTCCCTCTGATCTTCCCCCTCATTTCTCCCCCAGCTCTTCCCGAGGGTGCGGCCGCAACGGAAGAAAATCTGAGGAGGGGTCCTGGGGGATTCCTTTGTTGTCCCCCCCACCACTCTGTGGTGTCCGTCCCTGCCCCTCCCCCCCGGTGTCACAGGGGTGTCCCCCCACCCCTTTTTTTTGGGAACTTGGGGAATAAAAAGACTTTGAATGATCGAGGGGGGTCTTGGTTGTCTTTGTCAGTTTGGGTGGGGGTCCTACACTGGGGGGGTGGGGGCACCTGGATTGATCTGAGGGGACACAGAGAGAGTGACCCCAGTCCCAAACCAGCTTTTATTGCCCAGGGACACCCCCAAAATCCTTCCCCACCCCCAAAATTCCCAACTTCCCAGCGATGCGGGGGTGGCGCAGGACGATGGTGACAGAGTCTCGGTGGTGGGGGTGGGGCTGGGGGATTTGGAAGGTTCTGGAATGATCCTGGGGGCTCCAGGGTGGTCCAGGGGGATCTGGAAAGTTCTGGGAGGTTCTGGGATGATGCAGAAGGATCCATGGGGTGTTTCAGCCGGGAATTCCTTCCTTGCCGGCGATGAGGGGGTGGCGCAGGACAACGATGATGGAGTCGCCGTGTGAGGAATCCTGGAAGGTTCTAGAAGGTTCTGGGATGATCCTGGAAGGTTCTGGGAGGTTTTGGGATGATCCAGAATGTTCTGGGATGATCCTGGAAGGTTCTGGGATGATCCTGGAAGGTTCTGGGAGGTTCTAGAAGGTTCTGGGATGATCCAGGGGATGTTCCCTATTTGCCAGCGATGAGGGGGTTGCGCAGGACGACGATGACGGAGTCGCCGCGCAGGAACATTTTGGAGATGTAGCGATCTTTGTTGACGGGCTTGGATTTCTTCTTGCCTTTGCCGCTCTTGGGCACCTCGGTCCACATCTCCTT